AAGGCCGACGCCGCCCTCACCAACGCTCGCCCCGCAGCAGGCGGCGCGCGCGGACGGGCCAGCGGCTAGGCGACACCATTCCGACAGCTCAGAATGGACCACGACCACTCGCTGCCAACGCGGCTTCGGGTGTAATGTTACTCACTTAAATATTTCGCGATCTCCCTAACACATGTCTCAATCGCTCTACTGCACTAACGAAATTTCTCGACGCATTACACTTGTGCTTGTCCGCCAACGCGGCTGGAAGCGCGGCAACGCGAGCGGCGCAACTCACGGACGGCGCCTGCGCGGGGCGACGCTGCTGATGTTGCCGCCCCCTCGCCGCCACCGCCGCCCCACTGGAGGAAGGCCGCTTCTCGCGAGATGGCGCGCCTCGGAAGACAGACTCTCGCGGCTCCAGAGCAAGGAATGGGTGGGCAATGGGATTGAGTGATTGATTGGTCGATTGAGACTCAATGATTCACTTGTGATTGATAGATTGAGACAGAATGGTTGACGTGTGATTGATAGATTGAGACTAAATGATTGACTTGTAATTGATAGATTGAGACTGAATGATTGACTTGTGATTGATAGATTGAGACAGAATGATTGACGTGTGATTGATAGATTGAGACAGAATGATTGGCATGCGATTGATAGATTGAGACTGAATGATTGACTTGTGATAGATAGATTGAGACTAAATGATTGACTTGTAATTGATAGATTGAGACTGAATGATTAATTGTGATTAATAGATTGAGACAGAATGATTGACGTGTGATTGATAGATTGAGACAGAATGATTGACTTGTGATTGATAGATTGAGATTGAATGATTGACTTGTGATTGATAGATTGAGACAGCACGATTGACTTGTGATTGATAGATAGAGACAGAATGATTAACTTGCGATTGATTGATTGAGACAGAATGATTGATTAGTGATGCCCGGTGCTATCAATGGCTGAGGTCAATAATCCCGTAAGTGTGGTGCATGTTTTATTGCTGGGGAGGGTGCGGTAATCTTTCTGCACTTGACAGCGAGATCCAACGCGGGCCTTGAAGTCATTTTGCAGGATTTTTTTCCCAATCATGTAAGCGAGACAAGTGTTGGTGTGTGGTGCATGCAAATGTCAGGGTGTGTAAGTAAGGAATGCAGATAGGACAAGGAAGAGGAAGGAATGATTGTGTGCAGTCCGGTTTATTAGGGTACTGCTCCGGCATTCGGTGGTGTCGATCTGAGAAACCAGCAGCTGAGCAGCTGACCGCTAGAATTCTCCTTCAGACAGCGACTTAATTCCACCTCGCTGACTAGCTAGTGTCGATAATGCTGCCATCGTCGGGATACATACCATAGGATCTCCCGTGTCAGACGAACTGCAATGTTATCAGGTGATACACTGAGCCACTTTTGAGGGTTTTATTGATTGAGATAATATATGAGGGAGTGGATGAGAGGGGGGATATTGACAAATTAGGTTGAATCCAGAAATTTACTCAATAGTGCCGTAAATACAGTGAATGTGTAAAATAGAGGTAAAATAACGAAACCATAGTTGTCAATCACGTGACCGGATACTGTATAGTTTTCTGTCAATTTCTGCGTGCACAAAAAATTCGAAATATAGATGTTACAATTCCTCATCATATTTAAGAGTTAGCTATAGACGAATGGAAATAGTAATTGATGCAATTAGTTTATAATGTTAAGCTTTATTGCATGAGTACATGTTTTGAAAAAGAGCGTCTTGAAAATTTGTACGAATGTAATAAAGCAACATTATAAACGACTTGCATACTATATTTTTTCTATAACAGCATTATACATTTGCAAGAGAATCAAACTTAATTGTGCGAAACAACGTCCCTGTGACGACTCGGGTATTTGACATCGTGCAAGTAAACGGTGGTCGGCTGTTCCGTTTAGCTCTACCTCCTCTCGATTCTCTCGCTACGACTTGCTGAATGTGTGATGACGTAATCATTCGTGACATAAAATGTAATATGTCATCATTTGTGCCGTACAATGACCGATTATGAACGATTTCTTGCAACAGAAAAGGTTATTATATAATGCTGGATACCAAAAAAGCTTTTTACATGTTCTTAAAATCATAAAGGAATGCAATACAAAAGTTATAAAACACATTCACAATTAAAGTGTCATTTGAAATACTTACATCCCCCGTTTAAAATCCTTTAATACTATATTTCAAACAAATATTAAAAATGTAATATTTCGGTTTTCTTTCAATGTAGCAGACACTAAAACCGTATATGTACGTCACTGTTCTTGGGAGTTCCTTTATTTTGACTTCTATATTTACTTGGCGAATATTGAAAACAACATTATCTCATTCAAACTCTGGCCAATGGATGCACTTGATCACTTTTTCAGAGATTGCGTCACAGCACTGACTGTTTTCTCCTTTCGTATCACTTGTTTACATCCTGTCACATGACGTATCCACATGCAACGTGCATTTCATTTGCGTTCTCTATGCAATTTTCTTTTAATCAACATGATGTACGACATTATTATCATCCGCGACCTCTTAAAACGGGAGTTGTTTCGTGAAAAGTTTTAGCATAATTTTAATTTTGATGGAGTGTTGAAACATTGTAGAAAAATAGTTCACAAGAAACAAATCATTAATGTTTGATGAAACAAAAAAAAAAAACTTATTGAGAAGTAAGCACTAAGATACCAAAAATTCCATTTCACACTAGGATTATATTATGATATGCAGAAATATTACTTTAATTTATCAGACAATTCCAGAAAACAGATCTTATGGAAAGTCATGAAGCGTGATGTATTTAGTATAATGTAACACTCAACAATGTGTGTAAAATGTAGATGTACATAGCGAGATAGGAGAGATGAACCCACAAAAACGCACAGCCAATAGGCGTCCAGCAATACGAGTATTTCTAAGTGGATTGGATTATCTACCTCAAATACCAGAAGAGCCTCAGAATCCCCAAATTCCAGTTCAAATATGTCAAACATTACAGCCAAAGACAAAATGACAGTTCGATGTAAATTAGAAAAAATATGGGAAATATGCTCAACAATACGGAATACTCTACATAGAAGGATAATAACGAACAAAACTAATATGAAGTAATTTGCTAACTTTTATTTCTGATTATGAACTATCGAGTATCGTAGAAGTCTAGACAGAATAATAATATTAATACGGGAACCAATTACATTGTTCATAAGATCCTAGATGACTATTTTTATGAACGTGAGTGTCAGGGAAGAAGTAATTTAAAAAGGAAAATCGACAAAATAGTCTAGAATATTTACACTTGGCATTTAAATCGCTTTTTTCTGCTTTAAAGTGAAAGGAGAAAAAAGTTGTGGTTCTGGTGGTTTTTGTAAATGTAACTTTCAAAGTATTTTAGTCACGTCACTATCCTCTCATATCTACCAGTTTTGCTGAAAACATCTGCCATATGTCACCTCCGGAACACAGTTCTCACAATTGTACGTTTCGATACCTGCTCTTCATGCAAATGTTCCTATTATTGCACGATTTAAAATCTGTTTTCTCAATGAGACCTATTTATTCAATAGCTTTGAACACACTACTGAAATAATTTTCTGTCAAGATGTATTTTTGTTAATTACTTAAAAGATGTAGACTTTGGTTACCAGTGATAGTCACCATGATTACGGCAAAAGGAAGAAAACTGTTGTTTGTGGACAATGTTAGTAAAATTCACATTATTTGAATATAGTATATTTTAAATAAATACAAGTACGAAATAACAAGAAATTTTCTAAATTCTATGATTAAAAGGTCAGTCACTGATGCATTTTAGAAATGTCTGCCTCTGAGGCAGATAATTCCACTGAAGGGAAAAATCATGATCCCACCAAAGGGTTAAACTCCTTACTGGCTACGGGTCGCTCCCAATGCTGCCATTATCACGCCCCGCCTTATTGACTGCATGACATGGACTGATACAAATGCTGCCAACCTCACGACCTGCATTATTCGCTGCATGAGTTATTGCGGTCTGCCACCCATGCTGCCAACTTCACGCCCACCTTATTGGCTATATGTTGCGATATGCTCCTAATGCTGCCAACCTCACATTCAGTCCTATTCACTGCATGAGTTCTTGCAGTCTGCCCCCAGTGCTGTCAACCGTACGCCCGTCTTATTGGCTGCATGTTACGAACTGCTCCAAATTCTTCCAACCTCACGACTTGCTTTATTCGCTCCACGTGTTGTTGCGAACTGTCCCAATGCTACCAAACTCACGCCTCGCCTTATTCACTGCATGTTATGGACTGCTCTCAATGCTGCCAACCTCATGTTTTGCCATATTCGCTGCGTATTATGAACTGCTCCCAATGCTGACAACCTCACGCCCACCAAATTACTGTGTTGCAAGCTGCTCGAAATGCTGCCAACTTCAGGTTTCACCCTATTCGCTGCATGAGTTGTTCCGAACTGCTCCCAAATCCGCTAACGCTACCTTATTTGCTGCACGTGATTCAGTGGTTGCGGACTGCTCCCAATGCTGCCTACTTCACTGTCCACCCTATTCGCTGCATGAGTTGTTGCAGACTGCCCCCAATGCTGCCAACCTCACTTTCCACCTTATTCGCAGCATGTTATGGACTGCTCCTAATACTGCCAACCTTACGTTCCACACTATTCGCTGCATATTATGGACTGCTCCCAATGCTGCCAACCTCATGCCCACCAAATGACTGTTGCAAGCTGCTCCCAATGCTGCCAACTTCACGTTCCACCCTATTCGCTGCATGAGTTGTTGCGGACTGCTCCCAACACTGCCAACTTCACGCGCGCCTTATTGGCTGCATGTTACGAACTGCTCCAAATGCTTCCAACCTCACGACTTGCTTTATTCGCTGCACGCGTTGTTGCGAACTATCCCAATGCTGCCAAACACACGCCCCGCCTTATTCTCTGCATGTTATGGACTGCTCCCAATGCTGCCAACCTCACGGCCACCAAATTACTGCATGTTGCCAGCCGATCCCAATGCTGCCCATTTCACGCCCGCCTTATTGACTGCACGTTCCGAACTGCTCCCAATGCCGCCAACGTTGCCTTATTCGCTGCATGAGTTGTCGTGGACTGCTGCCAATGCTGCCAACGCTGCGCAGGTGAACACGAGCTTCGTGCGCACGCTGCGCGAGAACGGCGAGGAGCTGGGCGTGCTGCGCGGGCGCGTGGCGTCGCTGCACGTGCAGGTGGCGGACCTGGAAGCGGCGGTGCGCGGGGAGACGGTCGGGCGGCGAGTGAGCGCCGCCGCCGGCGACGACGACGGCCCGTCCCAGTCGCCTCTCGGCACCAGCGCCGCCCCGCCCACATCCACCTCCACCGCGCCGTCCGCTACACCGGACTCCTCGTCCTCAGAGGTAAATGTTGTTGATTAATTGACTCATTTGCCTTTCCGGGAGCACCAACTCTACAGTCTCGTAAGTGTAGTACATGTTTTTTAAACATGTGACGTGGATATGTTCGTCTCCTGACGGGTGATGTGATCCGGCGATGACCTACAAGTTGGGCTAAGATGTTCCCCCACCAACAAGGATTTCTCACGACCTAATGGCCACCGCCCGTGGGGTTAAGAAATCGGCTTCTTAGGTTTCCCCAAACAGGTTTCTTCACACTACTTGGCCCCGCCCAGCCGGGTAGAAATCGCGTGAGGGTTTCCCCAAAACAGGTTTCCCTCACACCACTGGGGACCCCGCCCAGCGGCGTAGAAGAATTGGCATTTTGAAGGGTTCACGAGTATTAATAGAGCCCAGTAGAAGATCGGCTTTTGTGGTTCCCAATACAGGTTTCGTCAGACCACTTGGCCCCGCCGCGCGGAGAGAATTGCCGTTTTGAGGTTTCCCGAACAGGTTTCTTCACACCATTGATGGCGCCCCAGTCGGGGTAGAAATCGTCTTTTGGAAGTAATGTTGAACCACTTGCGCCCACGGTAGAAAATCGCAGTCCCGCTAGCAGGTTTCTCACAACTACTTGTGCCCCGCCCATGCTCGGTACTGAAAGAATCGGCTGCCGAGGTTTCTCCCGCAAACAGGTTTCTCACATCCAGGTGGCCGTCCGCCCAGCGGGTAGAAAAATCGGCTTTTGAGTTGTCCCGCAGAACAGGTTTCTCCAACCACTTGGCCCGCCCCAGTGCCGGGTAGAACAATCGCCTTTGATGTATTCCCCCGAAAACAGGTTTTCTCACAGCCTGACTTGCTGCCCGCCCCAGCGGGGTAAGAAAATCGCTTTTGAGTTTCCCCCAAACAGGGTTTCTCACACCACTTGGCCTGCCGCCCCAGTCGGGTAGAAATCGCTTTGGAGGTTCCTCGAACGAGTGTTTCTCACACCACATGGACCCCGCGGCCCCAGTGGCGTCGCGTGGTAGAAAATCGGGTGCTTTTGGAGGTTTCCCCAAGACAGGTTTCTCACATCCACTTGCCCGCTCCGCCAGCTCGGTAGAAAAAAGTCGGTCTTTTGGGTTCCCCCAGAACAGGTTTTCACACCATATGGTGCGCCGTCCCCATCGGTAGATAAAATCGCTTTTGAGGTTTTCCCCTCAAACAGGTTTCTCACACCTAATTGGCCCCAGCCCCTAGTCGGGTAGAAGAATCGGCTTTTGAGGCGTCTTCCCCCAAACAGGTTCTCACACTACTTCGTGTTCCGCCGCCCACCGGGTTAGAAGTAGATCGCATTTTGAGTTCCCTCCGAAAACAGGTTCTCTCACACCAACTTGGCCCCCCCAGTCGGTGAGAAAATCGGGCTTTTGGAGTTTCCCCCACCAGGTTTCTCCCCACTGCTGCTGCCGCTCTTGGTGCGAGCGCTGCGGGGAAGCGGCGCTCTTTGAGGTTCCCCGACACGGTGTGCGTAGTGGATCGATGTGCCGCGGCCATCCGCTATCGCTTGTGCGGCGGTCCCGGGTTCCAAAGGGGGTTCTCACCTCCAATGGGTCGCCGCCAGTCGGTGATGTTAGATAATTGCTTTTGAGGTTTCCCCAACAGGGTTCTTCTCACAACCAATGGCCCCGCCGAGCCGGGTAGAAAATCGGGCTTTTGAGTTTCCCACCAACAGGTTTCCTCACACAATGGCCGCCCAGCGGTAGTAAATCGGCTTTTGAGGTCTCCCAAAACAGGTTTCTCACACCATGTGGCCCCGCCCATCGCCCGCGGGTAGAAAATCGGCTTTTGAGGTTTTCCCCAAACAGTGTTTCTCACACCACTTGGCCCGCCCAGCCGGTAGAAAATCGGCCTTTTGAGGTTTCCCCAATACAGGTTTCTCACACCGATTGGCCGCCAGTCGGGTAGAAAATCGGCTTTTGAGTTTCCCGCGGCAGCAGGTTTCTCACACCAATGGCCCCGCCCCTAGCGGGGTAGGGAAAATCGGCTTTTGAGCGTTTTCCCCCAACAGGTTTTCACACCACTTGGCCCCGCCCAGTCGGGTAAAAAATCGGCTTTGAGGTTTCTCAACAGGTTTCTCACACCATGGCCCGCCCAGCGGGTAGAAAATCGGCTTTGTGGAAAGGTTTCGCCCCAAAGCTAGGTTTCTCACACACTTGGCCCGCCCAAGCCGGTGTAAAAAAATCGGCTTTGAGGTTTCCCCCAAACAGGTTTCTCACAACACCACTTGCCCCGCCCCAGCCGGTAGAAAATCGCTTTTGAGGTTTCCCCAAACAGGTTCTCACACCACTTGGCCCCCGCAGTCGGGTAGAAAATCGGCTTGTGAAGGTTTCCCCCAACAGGTTTCTTCACACTAGCTTGGCCCCCCAGCGATAGACAAAATCGGCTTGTGAGGTTTCCCCAAAACCGGTTTCTCACACCAACTTGGCCCGCCCAGTCGGTAGAAAAATCGGCTTTTGAGGTTTCCCCGAACAGGTTTCTCACACCACTTGGCCCCGCCCCAGCCGGGTAGAAATCGGCTTTTGAGGTTCCCCAAACAGGGTGTCTCACACCACTTGGCCGCCCTCCAGCGCGGGTAGAAAATCGCTTTTGAGGTTTCCCCAAACATGGTTTCTCACACCACTGTGCCCGCCCCAGCCGGGGTAGAAAATCGGCTTGTGTAGGTGTTCCCCAACAGGTTTTCCACACGCACTGGCCCCGCCCAGCCGTGGTAGAAAATCGGCTTTTGAGGTTCCCCACACATGGTTTCTCACACACTTGGCCCCGCCCAGCCGGGTAGAAAATCGGCTTTGAGGTTTCCCCCAAAAAGGTTTCTCACACTCAATGGCCCCGCCAGTACGGGTAGAAATCGGCTTGTGAGGTTTCCCCAAACAGGTTTCTCAACCACTTGGGCCCCGCCCAAGCGGTAGAAAATGGCTTTTGAGGTTTTCCCACCACAGGTTTCTCACACCAATGGGCCGCCGCCAGTCGGTAGGGAGAAATCGGCTTTTGAGGTTTCCCAAACAAGGTTTCTCACACCACTGGGCCCCGCCCAGCGGGTAGAAAATGGTTTGAGGTTTCCCCCAAACAGGTTTCTCACTGACCACTTGCCCGCCCAGCCGGGTAGAAAATGGCTTTTGTATGGTTTCCCCCAACAGGTTTCTCACACCACTTGGGCCCGCCCCGCCGGGTAGAAAATCGGCTTGAGGTTTCGGTTTCCCGCCGAGACAGGTTTTTCACACTACTTGCCCGCGCCCCAGCCGGGTAGAAAATCGCTTGTTGTAGGTTTCCCAAACGAGGTTTTCACACCACTGTGGCCCCGCCCCAGTCGGTAGAAAATCGCTTTGAGGTTTCCCCGAACAGTTTCTCACACCAATGGGCCCCGCCCAGTGCGGGTAGAAGATCGGGCTTTGAGGTTTCCCCAAACAGGTTTCTCCAACACACTTGGCCCCGCCCCGCCGGGTAGAAAATACGGCTTTTGAGGGTTGTTCGCGCAAAACAGGTTTGCTCACACACTTGGCCCGCCCCAGCCGGTAGAAAATCGGCTTGTGGGTTTCCCGAACAGGTTTCTCACCTACTTGGCCCGCCCCAGCGGGTAGAAATCGGCTTTTTTGAGGTTTCCCCACACAGGTTCCTCACACCACTTTGGCCGCGCCCAGCCGGGTAGAAAATCGGCTTTGAGGTTTCCCCAAACAGGTTTTCCACACCAATGGCCCGCCCAGTCGGTAGAAAATCGGCTTGTGAGGTTTCCCTAAGACACGGTGTGTCTCACACCACTGGCCCGCGCGCCCAGCGCGGGTAGAGATAATGCGCTGTTTGGGGTGTTCCCCGAACAGGTTTCTCCACCATTGGGCCGCCCAGTCGGGTAGAAAATCGGCTTTGAGGTTTCCCCCCAAAGTAGTTTCTCACACCACTGGGCGCCCGCCAGCGGGTAAGAAAATCGGCTTTTGAGTTTCCCCCAAACGGGTTTCTGCTCAACACTTGGCCCGCCAGCCGGGTAGAAAATCGGCTTTTGAGTTTCCCCAAACAGGTTTCTCACACCACTTGGCCCGCCCCGCCGGGTGAAAATCGGCTTGTGAGGTTTCCCGCCAGACAGTGTTTCTCACACCACTTGGCGCCTCTGGCCAGGGGTAGAAATCGGCTTGTTGAGGTTTCCCCCACAGGTTTTCTCACACTACTGTGGCCCCGCTCCAGCCGGGTAGAAAATCGGCTTTGAGGTTTCCCAAACAGGTTTCTCACACAACTTGGCCCGCCCCCAGTCGGTAGAAAATCGGCTTTTGAGGTTTGCCGAACAGGTTTCTCACACAATGGGCCCCCGCCCAGTCGGGTAGAAAATCGGCTTTTTGAGTTTCCCCATACAGGTTTCTCACACACTTGGCCCCGCCCAGCCGGGTAGAAATCGGCTTTGAGGTTTCCCCGAACAGGTTTCTAACACCACTTGCGCCGCCGCCCCAGTCGGTAGAACATCGGCTTTTGGAGGTTTCCCCAACAGGTTTCCCACACCACTTGGCGCCCCCAAGCCGGGTAGAAAAATCGCTTTTGAGGTTTCCCCGAACAGTTTCGTCGACACCAATGGGCCCGCCGCCAGTCGGGTAGAAAATCGCGCGTTTTGAGGTTTCCCAAACAGGTTTCTCACACATTGGCCGCCACCGGGTAAAAATCGGCTTTGGAGTTGTCCCCCAGGTTTCTCGACACACTGGGCCCCGCCCAGCCGGGTAAAAAATATCGGCTTGGGAGGTTTCCCGAAACAGGTTTCTCACACCATGGGCCCCGCCCCAGCCGGGTAGAAAATCGGCTTTGTGAGGTTTCCCCAAACAGGTTTCACAACACACTTGGCCCCGCCCCAGTCGGGTAGAAAATCGGCTTTTGAGGTTTCCCGCAAACAGGTTCTCACACCATGGCCCCCCCAGTCGGGTAGAAATCGGCTTTGAGGTTTCCCCCAACAGGTTTCTCACACACTTGGCCCCGCCCAGCCGGGTAGAAAATCGGCTTTTGAGGTTTCCCCGAACAGGTTTCTCACACACTTGGCCCCGCCCCAGCCGGTAAGAAAATCGGCTTGTGAGTTTCCCCCGAAACAGGTTTCTACACCACTTGGCCCCGCCCAGCCGGGTAAGAAATCGGCTTTGAGGTTCCCCAGCAACAGGTTCTCACACCACTTGGCCCGCGCCCAGCGCGGTAGAAAATGCGCTTTGTGAGGTTTCCCCCGAACAGGTTTCTCACACACTTGGCCCCGCCCAGCCGGGGTAGAAAATGCGCTTTTGAGTTTCCCCCGAACAGGTTCTCACACCAATGGGCCCCCCCCAGTCGGGTAGAAAATCGCTTTTGAGGTTTCCCCCCGAAAGGTTCTCACACAATGGCCGCCCCCAGCCGGTAGAAAATCGGCTTTAGAGTTTCCCTAAAGGATCTCACACCACTTGGCCCCGCCCCAGCCGGTAGAAAATCGGCTTTTGAATGTTCCCCGAACAGGTTTTCTCACACCACTTGGCCGCCCAGTCGGGTAGAAAATGCGCTTTTGAGGTTTTCCCCCAAACGAGTGTTTTCTCTTCACCACTGGCCCCGCGCCCAGCGGGTAGAAATCGGCTTGTGAGGTTTCCCCGAACAGGTTTCTCACCACTACTTGGCCCGCCCCAGCCGGGTAGAAAAATCGGCTTTTGTGAGTTTCCCCCAAACAGGTTTCTCACACACTTGGCCCCGCCCCAGCCGGGTAGAAAATCGGCTTTTGAGGTTTACCCAAACAGGTTCTCTCACCACTGGCCCCGCCCAGCCGGGTAGAAAATCGGCTTTTGAGGTTTCCCCGAACAGGTTTCTCACACCACTTGCCCCGCCCCAGCGGGTAGAAAATCGGCTTTTGAGGTTTCCCCCAAACAGGTTTCTCACACCACTTGCCCGCCCCAGCCGGGTAGAAAATCGGCTTTTGAGGTTTCCCCAAACAGGTTTCTCACACACTTGGCCCCGCCCCATCGGTAGAAAATCGGCTTAGAGGTTTCCCTCAAACAGGTATCTCACACCAGTTTGGCCCACCCAGCGGGTACAAAGTCTGATTTGCCGGCTAGTGTGGTAGTGTAGTGCAAGAAGCAGAGGGGTGAGGTAAGAGAAAGGAAGAAAAAAGAAAGATCACGCGTTTTCTGTGGCCCATTTCTTAGGATACTTAGCGGCATTAGTCTGGTATTGACTGGAGAAACGATGGAAAACTTTGGTTAAAGGAACGCAACAGGCCGCTTGAGTTTTCCTCCATAGAGGAGCTGAATTAGATCCAGCAATCTACCTATGTACTCGTAGCTACGGTAAAAAAGAAGCATAGCCCTTATTCTTCTCGTCCCAACGTACAGTTCGTAGTTTTGAAATACGCCCTGTATGAGTTTCCTACTTCTAGTGTCGAAATTAACATCGCCAGCCTCCCCTAGATTGGCTATATATACTGTATCTAACACTTAATAAACTGATTTGTGAAAATGATATAAACTAGAAACAAATATTTACACATCTCACTAACCTAACAATAATTAGATGAATGAAGATAAAGCTAGAAATTTACTATTTACAAGATATGGTTTAATTTAAAATTTACAATTTACAAGTCTACATAAGGGTTGTAACAGATAAATGGCAAGGTGCGATCCAGAAGGGGGGACAACTGTCTAGCCAACCTCTTAGGCATATTGCACCGAGTAACCCTCGAGAAGGCAAGTGCCAGAGGTGTACGCCAGAAAGCACTGTTCAGTTTACGGTCTTCGAGTCCCTACGTACAGAGAGTAGTGCGTTCCTTTGCAAACGCCTATTCCGCCTTCTTATATGAAACTGTAAATTTGGAACTGCGGGATGTAGTATGGGTAGGGAACCACCAGTTTATCGAAAATCAGTATTACTGTGAACGAAAATTTTCATCGTACCTTCAATAGTTATCTTTTCTCATTAATTACTGTCTCAAGGAGCAATCAGTCGAAATGCTGTAAACCCTTTATCACATATTACTATTTCGAGACCGAACCTCAAAGACATGTCCCACATAACATAATCTATTCCATGTAATTATCTTGGACATTCAATTATATTTTTACTGGTTTGTCGCTATTCGATTCTATCCCACATGATCAGAGAAAGGAAGAATCTGCAACTATGTGTGAAAGTACACTAATTACTTGATATTATATTCCACTGAATTGCATGGATGTAACTGTCATCGGTAATGATGTTAAATGAAAATAGTTTGCATTGGTGTATTACACTGTTAAGTTGAAATACGTACAGTTACAAAGGGACATATAGAACAAGCACATGGAGGATAATAGAAGAGAAATAATATGGGCCTAATATGGAAATGGAAGGGTAGGGAAGAGGTTGGGATTTAACATGCGAGAGTTCTCGCTGGAGTACGCTCGTTATTGTTATGTCTTTATTATTCCTTTACGAGTACTTCACAATAAATGTCGGAGCCTTGCTGCCCATGACACAAATACAATTATCTGAACAAATACTTTATGGAGCTACAGTGAAGAATTTCATCTTTCTGTGTTCTAAACAACCTTTGTAGGCCGCCAATAATGATGGTTATGATGATGTCTTCAATTCCTTGACACTTCATTGTACCTTACTGAAGATCTGGGCAAGTTCACTTAACAGTTAGTTGTTATTTCAAACATACAATTCGACGTCGTTCATGTAAAACTGATGTGATTTGCGAACCATCGGATTTATTTTTTCTACAGGATTCAGAATCTCTAACCATTCTTGGCATCCAAATAAAGGAAGTAAAGAAATCACAGCGAATTCCAATTGTCTATAATATAGTTTGCAAGTTCTCGATTTCCCTGATATGTAATGAGCATTAAAGTTTTTCATTCGAACAGGAAATTTAGTAATTCCAGGTTAATCATATAGTAAACCTTGGATGCTCAAAAGTCATGTACGATGCAGAGTCTTACGCTATTTTATTGTGTACCTACCCCATAGATATATATTCTAAGATTTTGAGGACTTCGTGGGGAACCACACTATCTATAATTAATAGTTTTTTACGTCCTGTTTTATGTATTATGAAATAACAGGTTTTGATTTATCATTATTAAATGTTAAATTATAAAATTCAGAAATAACTAGAATTAATAAGAAAACTATAGTTATTATAGATTCATACTCGATATTTTAATACATTATAGTTTTAATAATTTACGTAAATGAAATTTAGCTTTGGATAATTTTATTATTCATTGACTTTAACTAAAGGAACACCTGCAACATTATTTTTTTCTTTCTTTCCGTACTAGTCGCAGGAGGTGGAAATACAAACAGAGACAGCGGTGGGAGTAGCAGAGGCGGCGACGGAGGCGGTGGCGGAGGGGACGACTGTGGGTTGGCAGGGAATGGCGGATTTGGAAGAGAGTGGCGAGAGGGGTGGAGGGAACGTTACGGAAGAGGCAACGTCCACTACTGCCTCCATTCCCGCCCCATCGTCCACACCACATGCCGAAGAGGAAGTAATTGGTTCTGCTGCTGTCACCGAGGTGAGATATGAAAGATGAAAATATTCTATTTTCACTTATCAAACAGAAAAATATATATTTATGTTTTGTTACTTATAAAGTAAATGAGAAAATTCTTCTGTAGAAAGTAAGAAATTCTTCTTTACTAAGAAAACCCTTGGAAATACTAAAAATGTAATAATATAAATAATATAATGTAAATATTTTACAATATTATATAAACAGAGTATCATAATATAAATACTGTATCATAATGGATCAATATTAGGCAACTTAAGAGTAGTTATTGCCTATTTCATTCAAGTGTATTTTATTTTCAGTAAAGACAAACAAAGAAAGCCCCTACAGAAATGAGAAAACTAAAATGAAAGCGCAAAATCCTATAATATGAATACACTATAGTCAACGAAAAAACCTAAAAAATATTAACATCGAGTGAGATTGAAAGTAAAATCTCTTAGTGTGCCTCTGGATCGTCAACTGCAGTGAACTGCGTACATAGAGTAGTAAAGAAAGGAGACACGGGCTAATCCAGTAACACATTGCTTCGCGACGAAATTTCTCGAAAAGGACAGGAAGCGTTTGAAAGATAAAAGGCCAATAGGCTCATTAACCCTAGATTACAAAGGCAACCTGTATCAAACGAAAGGCGTAGTCAGACAGTATTTGGACAAAAATTAAGAAAAAACTAATTTTTATAATGAAACATTAACTTAAATGGAATGAAAACGTGAGTTACAAAATACATTTTTAAAGGTTTTTATAGATACACCTAAATGACTTGATCCTCAGAGCACACACTTACTTGTTGCTATCCACACATGGCTTTCGAGAATTGACGGCAGTAGTACCTCGTCATGTGACCTTTGTTACGAATATGATCATCGTCGTCCCATTATGATTGCTAAATGGTCACAACAAAACGTAAATGATACAAGATTAGGTATTCATTATCCGTTTTCGTATTAATTATTCACATCATTAGGCAATATAGCGCGAAAAAATCTGAGGTAATTACAACGGCGTAGTCTACTGGACGACGTGTGTTGGCGCGCACCTGAAATGGCATACATCGGAAATCAGCACGCACAGAAGGTTACTTGTATTTACCTAAGGGGGTGAGGGAAGCTTTTGGCACTAGTTGCTGACAGTTAGTGACAAACGATGGCTTTGTAATTTAAAGTCAAGCTTTCCTCGAAAGGTGTTGAGAAGTTCGAAACAAATAACCTATATAAAAGTAAGTTGGGATCTGAATCAATACTGGGGTGTCACGGGTACCGCGCGCCCATTCCTAGGTTAAACTGGTTTTCGAACTATATGATTGATTGATTGATTGTTAGTGATTCCGGGTGTAACAACTACTGAGTTCGTTAGACCCGTAAGTGCAGTGCAGGTTTTTTCCTCGGAAGGTGGCGTTGGTTTTCCCCTGCTATATGACGAGATCAGGTGCCGACCTACCGTCGGCTATCGAGGTATTCCCCTACCAGGTATCTCCCACCAGTGGGGCACGGCCCCAGCCGGAAGAAGCTCTTAACTCCCGACCGATCTCCCGGCATGTGTGCTGGTGTGGCTGCATGTTAATGTAAGAGCCTGTAAAGGATGAGTATGGGACAAGAATGAGAAAGGAAAGATCGCGCTCGGTCCGTGGCTCGTTTGTTAGGATCCTGCTCCGGCATTCATCTAGCGTTGATCGGAGAAACCACGAAAAACTACCGATCAGAGTAGCTGGTCGCTAGAGTTCTCCTCCAGACTGCGACTGAATTTGACCTAGCTGATAGGCTAGTGTCGAAAATCCTGCCACCGTCGGGACTCAAACCTAATAGTCTCCTGCAGTGACATCGGTTGATGCACTGAGCCACCTTTGTCGGTAGACATGTATGAAATAAAGGGCGTAAATGTGAATCTGTTTTTTTCCCAAACAGGCGCCGACGGCCCTGGTGGTCCAGACGGACGGAGAAGGCAGCGGCAGCCTCAACGGTAACGGCAACGGAAATGGGAACGGCGAGAGTGTGGACCTCCTGGGAATCGAACTGGAGACCGTTCGCGGTGCATTCGAAACGCTACATGCACAGGTGAGTCTTCGCTTGTGAACATCACAAATGGACCTAATTGAAAATTCATTATCACTACAACAATTCCATGAAAATTATTAAATTTATTTGAAAATGATTACTTTCAGTGAATTACGTCAACAACGACCGATAACTCAGAAATTCACATTATTAGTATTATAGTTAGTGAACGTACGTCTAGTGATAGGGAGTTTTAGCGCCATTCGCAAGGTAGCAATGTTATGTGCTGTCACGTGACAGACTTGGACATCCTTACGTCTTGCCTTTGGCCAGAAGTATGACTTTATACTTTCTTAAATAGTCTACGCCTGTATAAGTCTCTACAATTCCGTTACAAACGGCAAATGGCCGTCTAAAAAAAGAAAAGCATTTTTCCAAATCTTATAAAACGATTCTTTTGTGAGTCAGTAACAATTATTCCTTACTAACTTCACAATTCGGGCAAGAATAAATGGAAAATGTTGGAAAGATGAGCGGTAAAAAATTCGAGAAAAAAAGTTGAAAAATCTCTTGGTTAGGTTGTCTTCTTCTCTTAAGAACGCCGATTCAAAATTCAGGACTTATAACTGATAGCGGAGGGCCAAAAAATCTAAAATTCCTTGCTCAATGTAGATTTGTTATTTACTTGACTTATATCGTGGTTCTAATATCTCACCACTAGCCTACACTCTGATATATTATGCAACTTCTTTGCTCAACACTTGAAAATGCTTATTTCGTTATAGTGCAAAACGTAATGTCGCAATTGCGAAAAACACGTTAAACAACGTTGTTAATTACCGTATAAAGTCGTTAGTCACGTGATAAATAGAGTTTCAGGATGTCTTCTTACATTTGACATTAAAACTCTGTAATGTCTGTTTTTTTTCCGGCAGGTGACTGAACTCCAAACTCGATGTGTTACGCGAGGTGATGAGTTAGAGGCACTGGTTACATCACTTGAAGAGCGGTTGGCCAAACTGGAGTCATCACGTTTGCCATCTTCCGAAACCGCTTCCCAATCAGCTGCTGAGAACTCCACAGAAGCTACACTTATCGGCAACGAAACTTCATCTTCCCCAGCCCCCGATCTACAGTACCCAATGGAACCTATCACGTCGAATATGTCACCTACGCAGCTTTTCACCTTCGGCAGTGAACATCACCAAGATGAGTTTCCCACAGTGGAAACAACGAATGTATCGGATTCTACAACGCAAGTGTCAGAACCAGCGACATCTGAGACGGGAGTGCAGTGATCGTACGAAAGAGGTGAATTTTAATTCAATCCACAATGAAAGGGATATACAGATGTCAGTGGTTCTATTGAGCTTGCGCGCTTTAGTATCATAAAGACCACTTTGTGGAATATAATCGAATAACAGTGTTCGTTTTAGGTTGCATCATATGTGTTATAACAACATGACAGTGAGGGCTAAAAAGTGCTAAAGCAAACTGTTAATAAAAGTTAACAGAGCAGTCGATTTTTGTTCTGCAGCATCTTTTCACTCTTCTCAATAATGCGATCGAATACTCCAAAACACAATGTGATAAATTACAGAAACTTCGTTGCTTTAAATGCAGTTTGTGTTACCTATTCATAAAATTTGATAAATGGAAAAACACGAATGAGTTCCAATAGAATATGTTGTGTTGCCTACAGAAACGAGTGTTATCATAAGTAGCAACAACCAACTTGCAATCTGAGACACTGATTGAAACATTTCCATCCGCAATACAAAAACTTACTTACGTTCATTAATCGAAGTAAGCATGTCCAATCATGACAGAAGATTTCATGAATCCTGAACTGTGACCTTTAATATTGCAGAATGTAATCTGTTTGCTCTGCTTGTGTTATGACATCATTTTGTTCGCGATTTTTCTCTTATCGAACGAGCTGTTAAGTTCTCATTACTTTTAAATTATTGCAAAACAATATGATGACACTGGAGAGCGATACAATTAGTCTGAAGTTTGATGAACACTTGGCGATTTTCATATTTACCGTTAGGCATTTTCTTTACAAAATTTGTATGGAACTTAGTTAATGAACACTTCAGTAATATTACATTTTAAGATTTGACTCACTATCTTATAAAACAGTTAAAGAATACAGAAAATTATGAAACAAAATTATTGAGCGAACAATTTTTCAAAGACACTTTCATATTTTAAATCTCTCAACCTATAGATCAATAAGAAATGCTACCTGCACTTCTAACTAATAAAAAATATCAACAGCGTATGAAGTACCTCCCTGGGGATCATGTAGAATGTATTAATGTTCATGAAAACAGGGATATTGAATTCTGTAAAGATTAACTTTCGTCTTAAATTACGTGCCTGCGTCGATGCTGCAATTCCGAATTTAATGATTAACTAGTATGCTCCAGAGTTGATTTAATACAAAATTACGTACGTAATAACCATTACGCCCGTAATAGAATTTTACTAAGGGAGACTGCTGCTGCGGGCAACGTAGTCTCGTCCCGTTTCAAACATTTACAATGCAGATGTACCGAAGGTCGTTAATATTCTCTCCCATCTTCCAGAAATACATGCAAACTAATCCTGGGACATTATAGAATATTAGTGGATATTTGTATTTCCATGTGCTCTCCGAGAATTAGTGAATAACTGACTGATACTAATGTGGCTTATCGCTCCAAACGACCACGAGAACTAGTTTGGAGCGATAAATGTAGTACCAGACACCAGTACAGAATTAAACCTGCAGAACTGCATTGAAAATTAAAAGCTTGAAAACATGGGGTAGCGATTTTGTGATGAAAAATGTTAATATAATAATTTGTGTGTTCATCGTCATGAAGCCTGAAGAACAAGAGAGATGTTTTCTATTGGATGACAATCATGTTTCAAACAAATGTTTGAAAAACATATTGGTTGAAGTCTTTTTAACATCAACCAAAACCATAGGCATCTGGCGATTTTCAAATCAACTTTGACAGCACGTTCACTATATAGAACGTAAATGTGATTTTTGACATTTTGATGGGCTTTTACCATTTTTTAAGAGTTTTTACTATATAGAAAAATATAATTTAAATATACACTTCAAGTTGATTTCAAAATTTGCATAAAATTATAATTCATAAAATACTCTTACATAAAATTGCAAATTTAGTCACTTGATCATTTTTTCAAACACTAATTATAAAATTAAAAAAAAAACGGCACACAGTTTTTATTGAAATTAATACTTATGAGAAGATTTATTTTTCCGAAAATGTGAAAATAGTTATATGAACTTTCTCAAAGAAGCAGTGCATTATTACATCTGACTCCTGTGACGTCTTCTGAACAGAAGTAATAAAGGCGTCATTTCATCGAACCATTAGCGTAAGTTTCACCTTCCGATATAGAATTCTCGAATTTTTTAATATCGCATCCTTTAAAACTGAAATTGGTTTACTTTAACACTCTACATAGGGGATAAAAGTGTATAAACTGCAGTAAATTGTGAAAACAGTGTGAAAAACTGTGAAATATTGCTATTATATTACTTTCTATTTATTTTATAAATAACGAACTTACTCAAAACGTAATAACAAATATATTGGAAAGAAAAGTACAGAAATCATGATTATTCGTGTTATTTATATACTGTGCGTTCTCCACACAGTTTCATCAGACAGTTTTTTATACTTCACAAAAGACGATTGTCAAAGACCATAGAATATTCTGGCATCGCATTCAGAGACTGTGGGTACTTGGCTGAGTCCCAATTAAAAGGGTCGTGTGTGATAAGAGGGTCTGTGAGTTTATCTCCGGTTGCGATTGTGGGTCGACTGTAATGTTCCATATAAACACAACTGAAGAACTGCTTAAATATTGCTGTAGACTTGTGCAACTAGGTGTTATTTTTAAACTTTTTTCATCTGTAGAAAAAAATCAATGTTCTACATAAATTAAATATTTTTAATAAATTTTTGGTATTATTTTTTTTCAGGTATTGTTTTACTCTATTTACCCTAAAGATACTTAAGAAATTTCGAAAGCACACTGTGATAAGGCCACAAGTGGTACAAAGAAATAAGTTCTACGTTACTTTTCAAAGTAAAACTCTGATTGCAACTTTTAGAACATTGAGGGAGCGGTGCTTCGTATATTTCAAATTTGTACTAAATTTGCAAAAAGATGATGATTGATATAAAACATTACATTTTACCTAAAATATAGAATGTTAGCAAAGCGGTGGTTATGTTACTTATTTTGCCATCGTAGTCACATTCTCAATAAATGCAATACACTAGTAATGAAAGAAAAAATAATATATATTTTGATATGTCGATGAAATTAACTTCGGATAAATCTTGATTTTGCAAACGAAAGTTGGCAAGAGAAGGGATTAAAATAACTAATCACGGGTCTACTGAGAACTCTAATATTTAAACGAATTTTGAGGAAAACCATTATTTTTATGTAATGTTGAAATTCATTAGTTATAATGTAACCTCAGTTATAACGTCAACATTATTTCAATTTCGATAAAACTAAGACATTTTAGTTTATAAATACTATATTTTCGTAGAGTTAATTTGTATAATACCAAATTCTTTTCTTTTACAACCAATTGGATATTTTCAATGCTTAAAATTCATTCTAACGAGACATTGACGTAATTTTTTATTGATGTAGAAAACGAAAAAGCGTGCGTAAAGTGATGTATAGATGCTCTATTAGAGTTAATTTTTAAAAAAATGCTCTGGAGAGATGCATTGAATTTCTGATTTCCTGAGAACATTAGAGCACAATTAGATGTAATTTCTACTATTGAGTAAAGTACGAATGCACGCTTGAGTTTGGACCAACAATTTACAAGGATGTGTATTACGTGACTGGTGAATGATATATTCAGTAATTGGTTTAGGAGGGTACAGGTATCTATGTGAATTTTTATAACTGTGTTCATGTTACGAGATGTGCAAATAAAATGAAAATGTATTAAAAATGTTGTTAGTCACACTACAAATATTCATTAACATCAATTCACACCATAATATTTGTATTATTTGTATAAACTTTACTTAGGAAGAATAAATTTTCTTTCATTACTTTAGGTCTTATGTCGACTTTTTGGTATTTACTTTTTTCTTGTTTCACTAAAAAATATTGAGCAGTCGTATTTCTCTAGACGATTCACAGACGAATAAGAATTAGTTTCAGAGAAAATTAGCTGACAATTTTGACAACAGTAGAATTTGACTATTACATACTATTACATAATAAGATACGGTGCAGATATTTCACTCACTAGGAAGAAAATGATCATTAATATATGAATACATTTTTTAGTATCGATTATTTTTTTAATCGATTTCATAACTTACACTTTCCATTGTCAGTGTCTAATTCATTTGCTAACGCTCGCTATAAATTAAAAAAATAAGAGTGAATTACAGACGAAAATTAATATAGCAACAAGTTATGAGCTGCAGCGTTTTAGACGTGTTTGCTTCAGACTAACGTGTTCTAAGCACAGTTGTTAATTATTTTGTAACATTATAATGCATAAATACTATTAAAAACGACCACATAAAAATTAAAAAAAAAACATTGATTCGAAAGATTCATTTAAAAGATCATAACCTTCTCAGTTTTCATCCAAAATCCAAGTATACAATTATTTCCTGTTCAAAAACTTACATCGAGCACTCGCTCCCATGACATCACGAAAACTAAACAATGTATTTAATTTTAATTTAGAATAAATTTTAAAGCGTCCAATTGACTATAAAAATCTTATCATAATTCGATAACATTTTATTTGATTTCATTCTATGTGTGTATCAACTGCAAAACTTTGATTATTTGAATTTGTTGCCTATTTTTTTTTACGAGTTTTCATGGTCCTTTCTAAGTCGTGTAATATTACGAACCCCAACGCGTAAGTGCTCCATTACATTTCATTCCTTATTTATCGCCCTCTAAAATCACATAGATATTCTTCTTCACATCTCGAGTTCTCTTCCCGACCTCTAGCCTCTTAAATCGACCCGGGCGGCTCCCCGTGTCTTCAACAGGCTCTCGCTATCTCCATTTTCGCACCTCACGACGCGGTGAGGCGGAGCCCGTTTTTCGCGGCTCCCTTTAACCGCCCTCCTGGAACGTTTTCCCGCTCCGCCCAACACCGCCCCGCCCGGCTCCGCCCAGCCCAGCCCCGCCCGGCCCCTGCCTCGCCCATTCGTGAAAAAGGACTGTTGTAATATTTCCATTATTATTTACTTTTCTATTCTATTTATAAATCAACGAACTTACTCAAAATGCTAAATAACAAATATATTGGCAAAGAAAAGTACAGAAATCATGCATTATTCGGTTATTATATACTGTGCTATCTCCACACCAGTTTCATCAGACAGTTCATTTTATACTTCACAAAAAACGATTGTCAAAGACCATAGAATATTCGGCATCGATTCAGAGGACTGTGGGTACTTGGCCTGAGTCCAATTAAAAGGTCGTGAAAGTTGATAAGAGTGTGTTCTCCTGTGAGTCTCTTCTCGGTGATTCATAGGTCTCGTTTGGCGGATTTTGCGTCTACAACAGGCTTCGTGTTAGCATATACCGACGCGGTCTGGCGGCGAACTTGTAATGTTCCATATAAACACAACTGAAGAACTGCTTAAAAATATTGCTGTAGACTGTGCACTAGGTGTTATTTTTAAACTTTTTTCATCTGTAGAAAAAACAATGTTCTACATAAATTAAATATATTTTTAATAAATTCTTTTAGGTTTATTTTCTTTGCAGGTATTGTTTTACCTATTTACCTAAAGATACTTAAGAAATGTCGAAAGCACACTGTGATAAGCCACAAGGTACAAAAAATAAAGTAGTTATACGTTACTTTTCAAAGTTACAACTCTGATTTTGCAACTTCCTTTTAACATTCTGACGGAAGCGCTGCTTCATTATTTTCAAATTTGTACTAAATTTGCAAGAGAAGAGGATGAATTGATATAAAAACATTTACATTTTTACCTAAAAAAAAATGAATGTTAGCAAAGCGTGGTTATGTAACTGCTTATCTTGCATCGCGTAGTCGACGATTCTCAATAAAATGCAATACACTAGTACATGAAAGAAAAAAAAAATATATGATTTTATATGTCATTGAAATTAACTCGGATTAAAATCTTGATTTTGCAAACGAAAGTTGGCAGAGAAGGGATTAACAATAACTAATCACGGGTTCTCTTGAGAACTCTAATGCTATTTTAAACAATTCTTGAGGGAACGGAAAAAACCATTTATTTTTACTGTTAATGTTGAACACCATTAGTTTATAATGTAACCTCAGTTATAAAGTCAACATTATTTCAATTTCAAAAAACTAAGTACGAGTTTTAGTTTATAAATACATATTTGCGGTAGAGTTAATTTGCTTATAATACCAAATTCTTTCTTTCTACAACCGAATTGGCATTATTTTCAGATGCCTTAAAATTCATTCTAAACGAGACATTGACTAATTTTTTATTATGTAGAAAACGAAAAAAGCTCCCTTTAAATATGTGTATAGATGCTCATTAGAGTTAAATTTTTAAAAAAAAAATGCCCTGGAGAGATGCATTTGAATTTTCTATTTCCTTGAAACATTAGAGCACGCAAATTAGATGTAATTTCTACTATTGAGAAGAAGTTACGAATGCCACGCTTGAGTTGGACCAACAATTTACCAAGGGATGTGTATTACGTGACTGGTGAATGTATTATTATTCAGAAATTGGGTTTAGGGAGGAGTACAGTATCTACACTGTGAAGTTTTATTAACCTGTGTTTCATTGTTACAGATGTGTGCAAATAAAAATGAAAATGATATTAA